TAATGCGATTTTTTGGTTTTAGTGGGAAAAATGTGATTTCTTAGTTTTCGCAGCAAATTGTAATTTGATGATTTTGGTGGAAAATGCAATTTTTCGATTTGATGGGAAAACAAAATTTCTCGGTTTTGGCAGAAATATGTAATTTCCCGGTTTTGTGAGAAATGCAAATTTTCAGTTTTTGACGAATAATGCGATTTTTTGGTTTTGCGGGAAATTGTTATTTCTTAGTTTTTGTGGGAAAACACAATTTTTCAAGAAATAATGCAATTTTTGGTTTTCACGAGAAATTGTAGTGTATTGATTTTGGTAGAAAATTGTGATTCTTGGTTTGACGAGAAAATAATTTTTTTGGCGGGAATTGATAATTTCTCGGTTTTCGCATGAAAATGATTTTTTTTTGCTTTTGACGGAAAATACGATTTTTTTGGGTTTTGCATGAGGATGAATTTTTTTTTGAATGTAAATTTTCAGTTTTTGACGAATAATGTGATTTCTTGGTTTTCGCGGGAAAATATTATTTCTTAGTTTTTACGGGAAATTGTAATTTCAAGATTTTCGCGAAAAATGCAATTTCTCAATTTGATGAGAAAACAAAATTTATCGGTTTTGGCAGAAATAAACAATTTCTCGATTTTGATGGGAATGCAAATTTTCAGTTTTTGACGAAAAATATGATTTTTTAGTTTTTGCGGGAAACTATCATTTCTTAGTTTTTGCGGAAAACACAATTTCTCGAGAGATAATGCAATTTTTGGTTTTCGCGAGAAATTGTAGTGTATCAATTTTGGTAGGAAAATGTGATTCTTGGTTTGACGAGAAAATAATTTTTTGGTTTTGGCGGAATAGATGATTTTTCGGTTTTCGCAAAAAAATAAATTTTTCGGTTTTAACGGAAAAATACGATTTTTTGGGTTTTGCAGAAAGATGAATTTTTTGTTTTAGTGAAAAATGTGATTTCTCGGTTTTGGTGGGAAAACACAGGTTTTCGCGAAAAAATGTGATTTCTTGGTTTTTGCCGAAAAATACAATTCTTTTGTTTTGATGAGAAAATAAAATTTTAAGTTTTTACGGGAATATGCAATTTTTTAATTTTCATGGGAAAATGAAGTGTTTGTTTTGATGGAAAATGTGATTTCTTGATTTTTGTAAGAAAATGAAATTTCATGGGAAATTATGCTAAGTTACAATATGTTTACAGTAATCAAATTTAATTATTTAACTTCGACTAAATCGATATTTCATCAGTTTAAATATAATTTTTGATTTAATTCTAAAACAATAGCAGTGATTTTGATATGAATGTTATTAATTATAGTTTGATGGTTTTTGAAACATATGTTTATAATAAATATTTGATAAATAAATAAATTTTATAATTCAAAATAATCATATTAATTAATAAAAAATGACATTTGCTTTATATAATTTCAAAAGTGATCAAGTAGCAATTTAGGAGAGAAATAGATTACATTTGTTATTAGCATAAAAGAATTAAAAATATATTGTTTTTATTTTTATATATACATTTATAGTTAGTTAGCTAAACAAATTTGATAGCAAATTATAATTTTGAAAAATAAAAAATTAAAGATATACAATGTTTATTCAAATTTAAAATATATAAATATATAATTTAAGCTAATAACAAAATAAATATAATACTCATTTATATAATAAAAATAATTTTATTATATTAAAAATATATGCAAAATTTAGAAAAATATTCTGCAGCGTAGTGCGGATAAATATTTAGTTATTTCAATAATTTAAATGAAACAAAGGTAGATTTCAATGAAATCTTGTGAGTAAACCAAGAAAAAGTTATTTAAGAAAAAAATAATAAGAGTTTAATATATATATATATATATATATATGTGAATCCTCGCTACCACTAACAAACGTATGAGATATAAATGCATAGAAAAATATATCGTAAGAATTATTAGATGGTTACAGATTGTTATGATTTTGAAAAATATTATCAAATAATAACATATTCATTAAATTTTATTGTGGGTTAGTTCTTTCGAATAAAACCAAAATGAAAAAAAGGAATTGAAATAAATATCAAATATAATAAAAATTATAATATATTTTTAGGTCGAATCTAAATACCTGAAAATAAAGAATCAAAATATCCGTATCAATACGGCCATACCTATGAATCTGTATTCGTTTTTGTTAATATCGAATCAGAAATCTCGAATACTGGAACCTTTAAAAAAACAAATAAAAATAATAATATTACAACAAATATAAGTATATAGTATATAACGAATATGTTGCTCACCCTACCCATCCCTGGTGTCCATGTCTCCCTGACGCATCTAGAGTTTTTTACACTTTTCTTATACCCATGAAGATTAAATTAGTTGATAAGCTCTATATATTTCCACATCTATTACGTAGATTAATATTGGTGATAATTTATATTCAACGCCACATCTAGTATTGGCGTACGTAGCTTGGTCACGTGTTTTGTGTCTTTAGTATTTGGCGTCTGAAATACTGAATAGTGCATCAAAAAATATTGCCAAACTATGAAGAGAAGCATTTTATCAGAAACCCTTTAACAAAAAGAAAAGAAGCATTTCTCAGAAATTAATTTGCTTTAATATCAATAAAGTGTAACCAAGATAAACGTGGATTGAAGCATAACTTAATGCATTTGGAAATAGAAGAAAACAACAAACAAATCAAGCTAGGAAATGTTGACATTAGTTAATTTAAATAACATGAAAGTTTGGTCTCCAAGAGCATATCAGCATATGGCTCAATAGAGAGACTCTAAGACGAGTTTCAGAAAAGAGACCAAAATTATCGACAGAAGTTGTGGAAGTTCGAATCTTACTCTATTCTTTTTTAATAATAGTTTTTTTTTTTTCAAAAATCTTTTTAATTGAGTCCTGCCCAAAATGATAGAAGAAGTATCTGATATCACAATAGTGGTGCATGAAAATATTCCCAATTTTAATTTCTATTAATATGCATTCAGAGTTGGATTACTTCAATACAATTTTTGGGATAATGATGCATCTTCGTGTAAACTATGAAGTTGTCGGTCCACAGTCCACTTACGCTATGTTCCACCAGTTCCTGACATCAAATCATCAATAATTCAATAGTTATCTCATTTAACGGATCTAATGTTTATTAATGATTATTAAAATATGTCATGTTTGTCGGGTAGTGGACAAATTTTCTGAATTAATGATTCGATCCATTGAATAACTTATAAACTTATCTCAATGATATTGAATTTTTAGTTTTTAATAATCTATATGTTTTACGTTTTGTTCTCAGCTTCGGTTATTAATATCGTTCTGATACATGTATATAGTATATATACTAACTAAAAGCTATACTAAAATATCTTTTGATATATGTTTATTGTTTCCCTTACATTATCTTTCGGAGATGGTTCATCGTATATTCATTGCATACTGCTATTGTACGTACATTCTTAAACATCTATCATTAGTGTAGAGTAATGGTTCAAGTTGCTTGTCGTTGTAGCAAACTTTACCGCCATCTTATGAAAACTGCATAGAACCACATCTACTACAAAACAAGTCCAAATAAACTTGTCCTCCTATTTACTTTATATATATCTCCAAACTACTATTATATACGACACCCAAGATCTTCAAATATCAGCTTCTAGCATATTATTAGAAAAGCATGTATGCTGTTTACAACAATATAAACTTATGTTATAGTCATATTTATCTAATGGCGACGATTTTGAAAAGTTGAAATATAGATCTAAATCAAAGGAGGAAAAGATCAGATTGACTTGTGCCTTTCAAGGTGTCGTTTATGACTTCATGCGATAAACCATATAAGTATGTAGAATAATGAATCGAAAGCAGGCTTTACATATTTAGAAAAATCAAAGATGTATGGCGCTTTTATTTTATATTTTTTAACGGTTAATTAGGTAGGTAGATAGACTTTTTGGATTATTCTTTGCAAAAAAATAGGACTGATAAAACTGTTAAAAAAGAAGTTTTTTGGTATAAAATTATAAAAATGGACAAAAGGAGCACGTCATCAGATAAAATACACTGATATTTGTCAAAAAATCCCTAAAATCCATGTTAAAAAGCAACAAGATAGATAAATCAATTTACGTACGAAAATCCTGTTTATCTTTTTATTTTATGCAAATAGAAAGGAAAAAACTTAGCTATCTAGTACACACCACACCCATCTTAAAATGAATTCGACGTTTGTATAACTTGGAAAAATTATGTATCGTGGATTTTAATACACCCAAACAAATGAGTCCTAAGAAAACTTAAGAAACTAAGTAATAGTGAAATGTAAGAAATTAAAAAATTTCCCTTTCTTTTTGTCAGTGTCAAGTTTACATATTATCTTCTATTGCAAAAAAAAGCACATATTATCATATTATTAATTGATAAGCAATTTAAGCTGTGATTAAAAGTTACACTATTTGCTTCTTATATGAAAAATTTATTTACCTTTAATGAAATTAATAAATTAATATAATCTAATTTTTAACTTTCATTTTATTTAAATTTATAATTCCAAATTTGAATTTATATTATAAGAATATTTAGTTTACTAAAAAAGATAATTAACATAAATCACAAAAAATCAATTCTAATTATTTTCTTAAATTAATTTTAATTTGATCGTTTAATCTATTAATATTATTGATTTATCTAATTAATTTATGCGGTCACAAATAAAACTCTAAATCTTATAAAAATTGATTTATGTGGCCAAAAAATAATATATTTTATAAAAATTTTATTTTTTAAATATATTAATTTTAATTTTAAATAATTATAAAATCTAATTTTTTCATCTGTAAATAAAATAATATTATTATTTTTTAAAAAATTTAATCAAATCCTATACCTTGTGCAGAGAAACACCTCGTTTACTTTGGAGATGTTGTGTGTTTTCCCCGCGAGAATATAAAAGCAATCAAAATGGACTATAAAGTCCAAAACAAATATTCTTTAGCCCAAAAAGTCTACAGGCGCATATGGGCCGAGAACAATATTGTATACTCCTTTTGCTTCTGTATGATGATACTTTGACTTTGTATAATGCTTTAGTTCACACAGAAATACATATACGTGATATGTAACGATTACAAATGGTGAAGCATATAGTTTGAGAATAGTAGAACTTTTCTAACCTAGACTTTTATTTCAATGCTATCTCAAGTGAATCAAATTTCAATCCAAATATTCTACAAAAAAAAAGGCTCAAAGTTTCTTTTGTCCACCTTTCAATGTTCGATACTCTCTTTACTCTTTTCTCCAGTGGAATCCAATTCTTTAACACCACTGAATCCAAGTTCAGACATATCCTGCTTTGCCATCAAGTTCCTGCATAATAATAAATCAATCTCATGATCTTAACTCCATCCCCACGTTCCTCGATAAACATTTTCTAATAGGACCTTTTAAACTCTTAATCTCAAAGCGAACAAGAGCTAGAGAGAACTATGATGTCCACACAGAGTAAAAGGACTCACTTGGCCATTCGACACTGAAGATATTTCTTTGAGAGATGTCTACATTGCTCAGATTTGTGAGCTGAAGACTTGAGACAGCCAAGATATTCTTTCTTCTCCTGAAAATGATAAGTAAATAACTAAAAGATAACCAAACATCTATACCAAGGCCAAGAGAAGATCGATGTTGCAAGTGTACCGCATCACATTCGTGCAAGTGATCCAAAGGGAAAATGCCCTTTTCTGGTGGTATTGGCCTTAATCCTCTGTTTCCTCCAAATGCTCCACCTTCCACACACAAACAAGGAAAAATCATCAACAAGAACGTGTAACGAGTCAAAATCGAGCTTTAGGAAGTAACATTATTAGTAGACGCTGATCAATAAAACATGTCCCTCACTCTACTATAACGCATTAGGTCTAGAGCTGGATTTACATTTCGTGGCTTCTGATATTCTTGAAAACTTCCATCTTACATGTCCATGTGGGAACGATAATGAATACGCAGCTATTATTGATTAAACCCCTAAAACACAGATATAACAGTTTTTTGTGAACACTAAGGTATGTATCAATCTAGGGTTTTGGGTTTAGCTAAAAATGCATTTCCTTATAAGCAAACTCAACACAGTTATAACATATCTCAAACAATACAGAACAGCAGTTTAACTCCAGGACTAATTAGTACATATACGATTGAAGATGATGATCAGTAGCTGTGATTGGCTCTAAAAAGCAAGTACAAGTTGCACAAGATATCTCACAAATCTGGCAGATACTCAAAACCAGAATTTGTCAAATTATAAGCGAACCTAACCTTGATATTCACATCTTTTAATTCAATAGGAATCGAAGCAAGAAAACGAAATAACGAGAAGAAGAGAAGAGACGCACCTGTACTCATATCGAAACTTGAGATTCACCTCTCGATCGGTTCCAATTCAGACACTGTACCTTTTGAGGTTTTGACGCTGAAAAGTCAAAAGAAGAAGGGGTCAATCTCAACATTCTCATGTTTAGGTGTCAGGCCAACAAAGGCCCATATCATCAAAATTGGGTTTTTCGTTGTTAGTACTTAGCAGATTATTAGCTAAGCTCATCGATAGATTTGATTATACAGTATTGTTCTTTTATCACTCCAGCATCATCATCTCAATTCTTCCATCAATTATACGATTACTTATCAGTGTCTTATCACTTTCAGCAATCTTAGTTTAGCCTTGGAAAAAAGTGAGAAAGCATATGAAATAAAAAATAAAAACTCTCATTTTGTGTGAGTCAGACATTTTGTCGAACACCTAATCTACATTACATATTTGGTACTTTCTTTGAAACCAAAAGCCACCATATATTTTCTCATTCAGAGTGTATGTAGCTTTATGAAGATTCGATTACTTAAATCTAATCACCATAATACAGTATTACCACCATCTAAGCTTAAACAAAAAACTATTACACAAATCTAAAAGAGACTTACTCGATGATAGTTGCTTCCTGAAAACGATGCCAGTTATGTAAACGCGAAATCGCCGGTGACGAAAGCGACTCGTTGATCGTCGATCGATTATGGAGATGTTCGATGTGAGAAGATATAAAACGGCGAAAAGGGGACAGATATGAGCGATTGTAATTTGAATGGAAAGTTAAAGGTAAATTAATCAACTTAATGACACTTTCAGCGTCGTAATTGCGATTAGAAGAGTTTGAATGAAATTTGGAGGGGACTAAGTGAGGTTTATGAACGATTATAGTTGTTCAACATTCTTTAATTTAATACTTTTGTCACGAATATTTTCAATTATAAATTTAACGTTGCCTCGAGGCGTCTTATTGTGAACGATATCAATCTCAAGCACTATTCGAGATAAATCGTAAAAGCCTAACATTTCTGTAACTGTGGGAAATGATAAGAAAAAGAAGTAATCAACAGTGAACAAAGAAAGATAAACGAAAAGTTGTGATTAAAATAAAGGAACACATAACAAAACAATTGGTCCAAGCAAAATGTAATCATACGAGGATCCTTGACTTCAACTCTTACAACATAAACGAAACATAAAACAGCAGAAACTAGATTCTCGGTTCTACAACCACAAATCATCTTCATTCTTAATCGCTGGTGGCTGAGATGAACGCACTTCCAGGTTGACGCCTAGCCAATGGACCATGGTTCGAAAGGAACTGCAAACACAAAGACGCACAATATATAATAAGCTCAAATGGTCAAAATGAAACAAGACAGAAAGAGACACACACACAAAACACAAAGAACAAGCCATTGAAACGAACCTTAGCATTGACACCATCAGGAACAATCCTCTTTGACTGCCTTAGCCTAGTGTAGTCAGAACGGTTGAACTTGGTGAATCCCCTGAAACATCAAATAATCAATTTAGTCACAGGCTTAAAACACCAAAAAGACAAAAAAACAGAACAATCAACAAGAGTCTAAAACTACAATAACATACCATTTCCTGCTAACAATGATCTTTTGACGACCAGGGAACTTGAACTTAGCCCTACGAAGAGCCTCCTGAGCATGAGCTCCATGGTTATCCTTGCACCTCACAGACAAAAGCACCTGTCCGATGGCAACTCTGGCACAAGTACCAAGAGCCTTACCGAAAGCACCTCTCATACCAGTCTGAAGCCTATCAGCTCCAGCGCACGAAAGCATCTTGTTGATACGAAGGACATGGAAAGGATGAACCCTAATCCTGAGATGGAAAGCGTCTTTCCCAGCAGATTTCACCATGTACTTGTTGCAAGCAATACGAGCAGCCTCGAGGGCTTCGCTCGACACATTCTCCTTCTCCCACGAAACCAAATGAACACAGAAAGGGAACTCATCGACTCCTTTCTTCTTCATGCCGACATCGTAGATCCTGATTTTGGGATCTGGAACACCACGGCAGTATCTGGATTTCGGGTATGGCTTACCCTTGATCTGACGGTAACATCTCGCTGGTCCTATAAACACACAAAAAACCAACACATTTCGATACCATTAAGTAGAAGATCGGATTTGTTCAATCATCAATAGCAACACATCTAAAACTTCATAGATTCGACAAAAACCTAGCGATTTCAAATGGTAACACAATACAGAGATTTAGCAAAAACGCGATTGAGAACAAGGATCCATCTGTATATCTATCTATCTATCAATAAGGAATCGATTCAGCTAATTGGAATTGAGATTGTAGGTGAGAGAAGAGACGATCGACTTACTTCTCCCCATGGCGTTGTTTTTCTGTTCGGTGATGGTCTTACACAAAACCCTAGAAATTATCTAAGAGACGCGTAATGTTCTTTTTATAGATGAAACCAACAAAGATAAAAGAACCCTAAATTTAGCATACGTAACTGCTGAGCTAAATAAGAGAGCCCATTGGACATTTGATTCTTGGTCCACACAGGCCAGGCCCTAATCTTTGACTTGACCTCTTAGCTCCAATGTGTACACGTTTTTGTTTTTTCCGTCTATTGTTTGTTTATTTATTTATATGGTTGGCGGTCAAAAAAAAAAATATTATTTATATGGTCGGTCGAAGAAGAAAATAAAATTAATTATTTTTTCACAAATTTGTTAGCCGAAATTATGTGTTCGATCGTAAAATTTCTTATGCCAGAAGGTTTACAAATCCATTCCACATCAAAATTACATGTTAACAGTTTTCTTTCAATTATTAAACGGTAATCTCTGTTTTTGTGTTATGTTATTGATAGTATCTCCGTTTCACATTTTGAACTCTTAGATTTTTTTTGGTTTTCTTGCAAAAAGATGTGTGAATAAACACTGCGTTCTTTATTATTCAAGATGATTACAAGGACAAAACTTGTGGTTGAAACAAAAACAAATACACCAGCAAAGACAAACTTGTTCACGATTTCAATTTCATATATTATTTGACAATTAATTTCCCAAACTAAAGAAACACGTTATCAAGAACCAAATGATTGCTTTGCTAAATATCAACGAGATAGACACAACATACATAAAGACAACACGTTAACACGAGTACATAACTCGGATTAGAACAAGGCAAAAAATCGCGATTGTCTCGAATTGTTTAAAAACAGTACAAAACTCTGTCTTTGTCTCTTCTTCTTCTACCGCTTCTCACCGCATAAGCAAGTAGCAGCTTGAAGAGCAAAGTAGGTAAGAATGATGTCAGCACCAGCTCGGCGTAAGCACATGAGTGACTCCATCATCACTTTCTCCTCATCGATCATCTTCAGGACTCCCCCTGCTTTGATCATCGAGTACTCCCCAGAAACCTGAAAACATTCATGGAGAGAGGTTAAAAGATCAAACAAAACCTGAGAACGTTAATTCGATAAGAGTATATATGATGAAAGCGAGTACTTGGTATGCAGCAATGGGTAATGAAGATTTGTCCCTGAGAAGCCTTATGATGTCCAAATATGGGAGACCTGGCTTCACCTGTCACCAAAACATGCCCCAAGTTGTTACCAAACTCTATAAATGTTATACCTTAAGAATGATAATGAACAACTCTTACCAAGAGAATGTCGGCTCCTTCAGCCTCGTCTTCACGTGCCTCAATCAAAGCCTCTCTGTAATTTGCTGGGTTCATCTGATAACTTTTGTGCAAAAGGTACCAAAATTTGTTATAACCACAAAGTCTTAAGCAAAAAAAACAAGAAACAGGAAGTGCAGATAATTGCTATTTACGTTTTCTTATCCCCAAAACGCGGATTCGAGTCTAGGGCTTCACGGAAAGGACCGTAAAACGAACTTGCATACCTGTTGGCGCAAGATTCATACACGGAATTAGACAGAAGAAACAAAGAAATGCTTCCCATTGAGGTCAAAACTGTATGATTACTTTGCTGTGTAAGACATGATGGAGACATTTTGAAAGCCTTCAGCGTCAAGAGCTGCACGAATTGCGCCTACTCGACCATCCATCATGTCACTCGGACTAACGACATCTGCTCCAGCTCGCGCCTAGAGAGAAAAGAAAGAAAGAAAGATATCATATCTCATAAGCAAGAAAACGAAAAAAATACAAACATTTTTTGATTCTTTTGATGTTGAAGACATTTTACCTGAGAAACAGCTTGCTTACACAGCTGGTGCACAGTCTCATCATTCATTATTACGCCTACAGAGATAAAAATATGTATCATCACAGCTCCAGTTAAAACGTAACAGAAGGAAGTTAGGTAACAAAAAAAAAAACTTACCATCCTCTCTGACTATACCATCGTGACCATCAGATGAGTAAGGATCCAGAGCAACATCAGTGTAGATAACCTAGTGGAAGATAAGACCGTTTATCACCATTACACATGTTTTTCCATCTCCAGGTATACTTAACCAAAAAAAGCGCTTAGGAATCTTACAAGATCAGGGTATTTGTCTTTGAGAAGTCGAATCGTTCTAGGCACTAGACCGTTGTCATTGTATGCCTCATCCCCTGTTGGATTCTACAAAAACGGAAGCCAAAACAAAAGAGTTAGAATACACAACTCAAGATTTCAAGAACATATGTACGCAAACAGAATTTCAAGTGTGAAACCTTCAAAGCCTCGGGAACTTTAGGGAACAGGACGATACTATTTACACCAACAGCTCGAGCCTTTGCAACCTATTCGCATAGAAATTTAAGAAAAATCATTTCTTTCTGCAATGGCGGGGTCTCAAAGAACCAACATATAAAAGGTTATATCAAATCAAAACACAAAGCCAACCTCTTCTACGAGGCCATGTCTCCATCCAAGCCTGTAGCAACCGGGCATTGCTCCAATAGGCGTGTCCTCTTCACCTGCCAGTCTCCAAAAAAACACACATAATGCTTCTTGAGACGATAGAGAACAAGCGAGAGAATGTCAAAACTCGAATTGCGAAAGAAACTAAAACCAACCTTCATGAATGAAAAGTGGGTATACAAAATTTGCAGGGGAGATGTTAGTTTCCTGAAAGGCGGCTCTGGCGAAAGGGGATGCACGGTTACGCCGTGGACGCCGGTTTAGATTCTGTAAGCATAAGCAACATCAGAAGAGAAAAGCTTCAACCTTTAGGAACCTTTCTCATATAAACCAAAAAAAGGGTAATGGCAGAATCATCTGTACGATGCAATTAGGGTGAGGTTAGATTGAAATCAAGGGATTCTGATACTCACGAGAGGCTGACTAATCGGCGTACCGGCCGGAGCAGCGGGTTTAGGTGGAACCGGAGGTGCCTCGGGGGCCTTTCCGGCGACAACGGCGGCTTCACACTCAGCGTCGCTCCTCCCGAGCTTCTTGGCTTGTCCGTTGGATTCACTGGCTCTTACGACAAGAGAGCGACGGTGAATAGCTGCGATTGGAAGTGAAGCAATTCTCACTTTACTCGCCGGCGATCTCAGACCGGCGTAGCTTTTGCAATCGATTACTTTGCTCGATGAGAAGCTGCAAGAGGCATTGAATATCGGTGTAGCCATGAATCTGCAACAATACACACACACACATACACTGAGGATTTCGGAAATGTGTAATTTGGGGTTTCTAATGAGAAAGAAGAAGAATCTACCAGTTTCAATTGAAGTTACAAAAAGAAAGAAGCTTAGATCGTATCTTTGACTAAATGAAGCAAAGTTTTGAAGTCAAAAGATCAAAGCTTTTTCGTTCAAAATGATAACATAAAGTAAGAGAAACAGAGCAGGTGTTACCTAACCTCGGATTCAGAGAAGTTGTTGAGATTTAAAGGAATTTGGAAGAAGCAAATGAAGAAAAGTGGGTTTTTAGGAGAAAGATAGCTTTGGATGATCGCCGTTTCCGACAATTGACATTTGACAATAAGATAGAGACTAGCCTCCACGCGCTTTAACTGCGAGTATACGAGTTCGAAGACTGGACGGAAATAGGAACGACAGCGTTCTGCTGCGTTAATGGGCCCGTGAATAAAACAATTAGGCCTTTATAACATAACCGGAAGTTATGTAGTTCGTAGAGAGTGTCTTCGAGCCTCGAGATTCATGCTCGTTCTGAGATGTTTTTTTTTTTTTTTTGGTTTAAGGTTATCGTTCTGAGATGTTGTTTGTTTGAATATAAACTAAACTCTAGATATGGAAGAAGCAAAAGGCTTGTTTTCTTTCGTTTTGAATTTTTAAGCAAACAAGTTGTTGAAAAACCAAAAAACAAATGATAAAAACTTAATACTAAACTGAAAAGAAGAGAAATAATGGAAATCTATAGATTTACAAGAACTGGATTTGGCAATTGGAGGAACGTTTAGGGAGAGCAAGAATGTCTTTGGCGAGTTGCAATTTCTTTTTTTTCGACAACCAGAGTTGAGATGTCTTGTTATCATGAATCTTCTTAGCGACTTTCACTTTCATTACTTGAAGAAACTCGAGTTCCCACAAGAAACGTTTCACTTGTCTCAATTCCCTACCAGTTCCTTTGTACCCACAAATCTCCAGCACCTTCACTACATTCCCATCAATGCTAACCTCGGAACTTCTTTTTATCGAACGAAAGCCCTGAAGCCAGTATAGAGAAAGCATATCTTAATGTGAAACTCGAGTCTATAATTGAGAGAGATCATATGTATATATTATACATACATACCTTGAGAATCAAAGTTTGTAGCTTTGGAGAGTTTTTGATTAGACTCCAAAGAACTTGCCAACCTTTCTTGGTTTTACTCTCGAAAGATAGATTAACAAGGTTTTTAAACAAGGGAAATCCACCATTGCTACGCCAATGATCAAAGCATTGAAGCATCAGCTGCATGCAACACACACACACACGCACACAAACAAAGTGGTGATGAATGATTCAAGAATGGAACAAGAAACCGAAAGAGGAGAGACATACCTCAACAGTAGTGGACGAGAGGTGAAGGGTTTGAACATTGCATATCGAATAAATGATTTTCGAACGAACCAGAGGCCCAAAAGGAGAAGACTGTGGCAAAAGAAGATCGAGGCGGGCTTCGAGAAGGGAATCGAGGAATTGGGCTCCATAATGGTCACACAACATAGCTTTGTCAGAGTATTCGAGGTAGACAAGATTTGGTGTGTTAAACTCCAAAAAAAGTGTTCCGGTAACACTTCTCCCTCGGTGAATCGTGATTCTCTTGATGGTTGGGTGAGAGAAGCTGTAATTAAGTCCAAACTTCCTTTGATGATGAATGAAATTGTTATGCACGTGTAATTCCTCAAGCACAGGGCAACCACGAAGCAGGACATCAGAGGAAGCTGGAAATCCAAACCAAACCGTATAGAGAGAGAGACTCTTTAGCACCGGAAGATAAACTTTCGGTATACGAACAAGTCCAAAACGAAGCCCTGTCCCTAGAGTTAGCTTGACAAATGTGTTGCTTGTGAAGACGATGGAAGGAATATGACACGTGGGTACTAGTTCACCACAAGGCATGGTAATGCGCAGATCAAGATCCGATACGCCTCGTGCGAAGGCATTCGTTATCCATCGGGTTGTATCATCCCTGAAGTGGTCTACATCATCTTCACATATCAATGAGAATTTCTTTAGCGGGTCACGACCGTTTTCTTGCTGTCGTAGAGACAGTAGTGTTGTGTCAACGAGAGCCCTGAAACTCTCTCGAGCATCGTGCCTTTTCTGTTTTTCTTTCCTTTCCCGTTCTTGCGATGATAAATCAAACCTGTATCGTCGAATTGGATATGTGGTTGAGTTGCAAAGAAGCGAATCATCAGTGCGAACAGAGTCCTCCATCTTTTGGAGAGGATTGATGTGGAAGCAGCTTGTTTCGTGGGGAGCAAGGATAAGACCTGTGCAAGTAACTCGTCTGGAAGGGAGCTGATTACATCCCTTGACCCAGTATCCACCTTCTTCATAGTTCACCAAGATGGTTGAAAATTCAAAGTGAAGAAAAGAAAAACTAGGGTTTCATAATCTATGTTTATGTTTCAATACCTCAGCAAATTGTTCAGTGTCCTTCACATTCTGCAACAATCCCAAAGTTAGCCGATTTATCAAGTTTCCTTTCATTTTCACTCTTACTTAAACCAAACCGAACCGAATGATATCGATCCTCCGGTTTGGTTAGATTGAGCGGGAGCCTATGCCGACACACAGTTCAGCTCTATAACTTGGATTCGGCAGGCAGTTCACACATAGATGTTATTATATAGCTCCTCCTCCATCTCCGTGATCACCTCAGGCTTCCCGCACAGAGGTAACATCCAATCGAAAATGTCAGAATCGGTCGCGACGTAACCGTCGCTAGCGCCGAGATCCGCCTCAGTCTTCTTCTCGGATCCTTACGACTCCCATCCTCTATGGTTCAAGCCTTCCTTCTTCCCCTCCCCTGGGTTCGACTCCGAGTCCTTCATTTCAGAGCTCCGTACGTTCGTTGCCTTCGACACCCTCCGATACGAGCTCCGATCACACCTTGCATCCCTGAACCGCGAGCTCGTTGATCTCATCAATCGAGACTACGCCGATTTCGTGAATTTGAGCGCTAAGCTCGTGGACATCGACTCGACTGTAGTCCGCATGCGCGCCCCGCACCTTGATCTCCGTGAGAAGATAAATGGGTTTCGCGGATCCGTGGAGGACGCAATTTCCGGAGTAAGGAGTGAGTTGCGCCAACGTTCCAATGCTGCTGATGCCGGCGAGGTTCTCGAGTTGTTGCTCGACGCTTTTCATGGGGTATCTAAGGTACATGATGATTTTGGCTTCTGAATCTTCAGTATCCTTAATGGTTTTGAATTCTAGTTCCGTTTGATACTGAGCAAAGATGTTTCTCCGTTGATTTTTGTTTTGGTTTTAGATAATGCCTATTCATTGTACATGTAGGTTGAGAAGCTCATAAAAGTTCTACCAAGTACTCCGTTTGATTCCATGGGAAGGAGTTGTATGAGTGATGAGAATCCCAAGCAGCAAGATGGCACAGCCATGAGAGAAACCCAGAGCACGCTTTTGGAAAGAATAGCTTGTGAAATGAATCGGCTCAAGTTCTATATGGCTCATGCACAGGTCTCCATCGTGCATTTACTCCACCATGTATACTTGTTAGCCCTCAGAAGAAGAACAATAGAATGTCATACAACTGGTGCTCACTATTTTTCTCTGTTATGGCAGTACAGAACCTACCTTTCATTGAGAAGATGGAGAAGAGGATTCAGAGCGCCTCTGTGTTATTGGATGCTAGCCTGGGCCATTGCTTCATCGACGGACTAAACAACAGCGATACAAGTGTTCTTTACAACTGCCTACGTGCATACGCCGCCACTAATAACACCAAGAATGCAGAAGAAATTTTCCATACAACGATTGTGGCTCCATTTACGCATAAAATTATCGCACGTGAAACATCAGCGGGTGCTGCTGGAACATCGGGAGATGTGAAAACGATTACAAACAGATCAAGCATTTTATCGCCAAGGACTGTAAAATGCTGCTAGAAGTATCTTCCACAGGTAATTCGCTCAAAAAAAAATCTCTCTGTGATCACCTTTTAAAGTTCCATTTTGCTCTGGCTAAGAAGTTCTCTTGTTATAAATTTCTAAGAAGAATTTTACGACACTACACAGTAACCTAAGTTTCATGGCTTATTATCTTCATATCTTAACGTGATACCAATCTTGTTCGTTAATCATAATTTTTCATTGTTTCCTTCTGAGTGTTGTCGTTTCATATTTGGCATCTTTTTGCTGTAACAGAGAAATCGGGTTTGCATGTCTTCAACTTCTTGGCGAATTCAATCCTGAAAGAAGTTCTTTCGGCAATCCAGAAGGTCAAACCAGGAGCATTTTCTCCTGGAAGGCCTACCGAGTTCTTGAAGAATTACAAGGCAAGTTTGGATTTCTTGGCATATCTTGAAGGTAGAGTAACTGATCTTACATCTTTCTCTGAGCTTGATCGCATGGCTTATCAGTTGAGTCATGTGACATGTGCTTTTTGTGAAGGTTATTGTCCGTCAAGCTCAGCTGTAACTAATTTTCGAGCGGAAGCCATATATGTCGAATTCATGAAGCAATGGAATGTGGGAGTGTACTTCTCACTGAGGTACTCGAGAGATATCAGAGATGGCGTTTAATTTACCATTAGAATAATGGCTTCTCTAACTCGAAAGTGCATAATTTCAGGTTTCAGGAGATAGCTGGAAGCTTAGATTCTGCTCTGACTTCTGCTTCTCTGGTTTTCATTCAGGATTCTGACTCAGATAAAAAGAGTTCTCCCAACTTAATCATCAGACAGAGCGTTACTCTTTTGGAGTGCTTGCGATCATGTTGGAAAGAAGATATTCTCGTTTTCTGTGCTGCTGATAAATTTCTTCGCTTGACCTTTCAGCATCTTTCAAGGTTTGTGAAATTTGATTATAATACTATCATCTCTTCACTAGTTTTTTTTCTTTCAGTTATCATTTTGATAATGTGTTAATAAAATGTAGATATTGCAATTGGGTGTTATCTGCGGTGAATGCTAGAAAAAGTAATGGTGGCAGCCTGAGTCCTGGATGTGAATGGGCAGTTTCAGCCACTGCAGAAGATTTTGTATATGTAAGACCATAGTTTTGATCATTTGATTATATCGGAATATATTTACACGTTACCTTCCTTGCAGGTTATACATGATGTAAATTGTCTACTCTCAGAAGTTCGGGGCGATTACGTTGAACATATATCACACTATTTATCTCCATGCTCCTCTGAAGTTCTGGATATGGTGAGGAAGAGCATGTTACAGGGTGCAGAATCATTACAGAACGTCCTAGCTTTACTTAACAAGACCATAATTGAAGTCATTGTTGATAAATCTGTTGAGGTAAATCCCATTGTTTAATTTATTCACTTCAAGATTTGTTTAACTGCAAGAACAGTGTTGAGTACAGTTTGCTTTATAGCTGAACAGGTTACAGTTATATTATCCTAAGTATCTCATACATAATCAAGTCTGTAATGGTAAATGGTATTTGATCTACTATAGCACCTAAGGCAGCTCAAGGGAATAACCACAACGTTGATGATGAATAAACCACTGCCTGTTAGGCACTCACCATACGCCGTTGGACTATTGCGTCCTCTTAAGGTAAGCTTCGGGGTTTGAGGTTTTAAGCTCATAGTTACATCTTTGATGAATTCTGAAGTGTGGATTGTTACATCTTTCGTATTCATAGGCTTTTTTGGAGGGAGATAAAGTTACACATTACTTGACTCACGAAACAAGGGAGGAGTTATTGCTTTGCACTCTCACTGAAATTACCAAACAGTATTATGAATTAGCTGCTAAACATGTTAGCGAGGTAAGTATTTTGGTTAAAACACTTTATAATGATTATTATTAATACAAGTATAATAAACAAGTGAGACCTTGGCTCTTATAACTGAGGTTCATCAATTTACAAATCAAGACTAGACAAATAACCCTAGTAGCTACGACCAAAACTAGAATCATTTTTTGTCCCAAGAAAATCATTTTCACTAGAAAGATGCTTTATGTGCAGTAATGGGCGGTAATTTGTTACAGGAGAAAATAAAAGAGACTTTGCTTCAGAAACATCGACAAAATGCGCAGAAACGAGCGAGTGCAGCATCATGTGTATCTGACCACAATGAAACTGGAACAGACAAGATGTGTATGCAGTTGTTCCTTGATCTTCAGGTAACCCTCCTCATGATATGATGTTTTCATTGTGTTCTCTGAAAACATTACAGTTTTAGAAATAAGTAGTCTCATATTAATTAAAATACCTTTATCAGGAGTATGGCCGAAACATTTCTGTTTTTGGGTTGAATCCGGAAGATATCCCGTCATACTGTTCCCCTCTGGCAATGCGTTACACCTGCGGATAGGCAAAACACAATTAGTGTTCGAGGACTCGCGCTGCATTTTCATACAACATTTATGATTGGCTTTGTTTTGCTTTAACACTTACAGAGTGACGAGAAGAGGAAGAGAGAGAGGTGTTTTCCAAAAAAAAAGTTGCCATTATGAATGAGAGATGTATGAGTTAGTGGCTTAGTGGCAGCTTTGGCCATTCAATCTTTTTGTAGAACTATTTCATCTTCAGTATATATAAACACCGCACCAAAGGCAAAGAGAGAATGACTTCTTTATTACGTTCGAGTGTTTTTAGGGCCGAGTGTCTCATCTCTATCAGTTTCCGTATATACTAAACCAGTTAATTACCAATGGGCAATGGTTTAAACATATGAAACCAGTCAACCACATGAAAGTTTATCTCAATTTATGATTATTGGATATTCAATAAAATTTGAAATGAATTCCCTGGGAACCATGCAATGTTCAGACAAAATAAGTGAATATATTTTTCATCAAACATTATTTTCTATCGACAGCAGAATACATGTTGGTATAATTTCTCAAAATAAAATACAAAAATCTGCATCCATGTGTTTCTCTATGTCGCTATCTTTTCTTTGTATATGTCTATCTCCCTCTTCCTCTAATGAAGACAGAGGAGATCCTAGGAAACTAGAATGTTGTGTCGTTCACACACTTTACCTCCATTTTCACCCCACCATTTCTCAGCTTGTTCTTCAGTAAACTGTTTCCGGCTGCACAAGAAACACCAACGTTTCAGTGAGCATGACGAGTCACGTAAAATGATTTGTTCTTAGTTAGTTAGTTAAAAATGAGAGATAAAGGTAACATTATAAGTAGACAATAAGCATCTCTCATATACCTGAACCGGACACGCTTGAGTTCATTACCACCACCAGGTAAAGACAACAACGTTAAATACACTCCTGGTTCGTCTTGTACAACCCTCTCCGGCTTCTCACTCTGCCTCCTATGCCCATTAGCGAAGCTCTTACTTGCTAGGTTGCTTTCGGGATGACCGTCATGAGAAACCATGCTTCTTATATGTGTCTGGTTACTAGTCTGAGTTTCAGTCTCGGATGTCTCTTTCTCTGTGCGTTTTGTGTTGGTGCTAGTATCATCCCTTTGAGGAACTCTATCAGCTTTTTCCTTCAACTGCAAAAGCCACAGTAACAGTATGAGAGATAGATACAAGAAGTTGAGACGAATGTACTTGAGTTCTAGAGAAAATTGTCAAACCTGAGTGGTCAGAGATCTAATAACCTCTTTTGCAGATCTGTTTTCCTCTGCTTCATCTGCTGCCATTGCAGTGACCACTTTCAACTGCCTTCTAGTTTTTTCGAGTTCCTCTTCAAGTTGGTGGGTTCTTGAAGCAAGTTGTTCTACCTTCAGTGTTTCAGTTGCATATAAACTTTTTTGCTTTGAAATGAATATATTATACACCTGAACATAAAAGATGCTTAGATAGAAGACGTACCTGTTCCTTTAAACCAGCCATTTCTTGACTAAAACTATCTTTTATCTGCTTAGATTCCTCAGCTGTTACTTCATAAGATCGACGTGGACTAGTTGACTTTACTGAAACTGGAGACGCTGTGCGAGAGCTTGCTCTTGAACCAGGAAGTTTAACCACCATATTCTTTGGGATTCTAGGCAGAGCTGTTGACCCTTTAGATAACGGCGATCCAGCAGACTGTAAACCGCCGTTCATGGAAGGGAAGACATTCCGGTTATTTACCTCCGGTTTCAAGTCTCGTCTCTGATGCCTCCCTTCTCCAAGGTGCAATAAAGAGTCAGCGGAAGATATTCTGCCGTGCGCTGAGAGGAGCTTCTGAGTTAAGCTGCTTCTCTCTGAAACATCCGTCGACTTCCGCATATTCAAAAGGTTTCTACCCCGTGGAGTCCGTGGAGAAGGAGATGTCTCTCCCGACTTCTTCAGCTTGGTGAAACATCCGTAACACACACGGTACGGTTTGTTCACATCTGGCGCAAGTGCAGCTCTCAGAGACTTCCTACTGCTGCATACTTTACAAAAAATCAGACCACAGTTGTAACAGTTGTGGCGTTTTCTTCTAAAGCTGAAAGGGTTTCGGCAGCCAGCACAGAGGGAATGCTCAGAGCCAGGTACCCATTTGTGAAGACAGATCACAGCGGTGAAGTTGGATCCACATGTTATAGCCTTCACTTGCTTTTCTTTCAGAAACCCAACAACCGCAGGTTCTCTTTTGTTCTCAACGGTTCCATGGCCAAGCTGCCCATTTAATCCTTTTCCCCATGTGTAAATCTCTGGTTTTGATGTCAACACTGCAACATGATAAGAGCCACAAGCAATCTCCTCTACACAAGTATCTGCCAAGTCTCCTTCGACACGTGAGGGGAACTTTGCCTTGGCGTAAGGATTTCCAAGCTGGCCATAAGCATTGCTACCCATTGTATACACACGTCCTTTTGATGTAAGAGAGACCGTGAGACTATGTCCGCAAGCAACTTGGCTGATGTTTTCGTTCGACAGCGAAGTTACACACTCGGGAAGTAGCTTTGCGTCATCGTCACCATGACCAAGCTGGCCTTTCTCGCCATCACCCCATGTGAACAGTTGCCCGCGAGAAGAGCAGACTTCTGCATCAGATGCTTCACTAGTCACTTCCACAACCGCAGCTGTATGCCAAACGCCACAAGCAGCCTTCATTACTCTAAGTCCGTTTAAACTTTCGACTTCGCGTGGAACACTAGAGCTTCTCCGGTCTCCATGGCCCAAAGCACCAAAAGATCCATCTCCAAATGTGAACAGTTGGCCTGATGATGCAACTACAGCTGTATGCCAAGGACCACAAGCGACATACGATACATGCGTTCCCTGTAACACACCAGTCACTCTCTTTGGAATCCAGCAGCTGGATTCGCTACCGTGCCCGAGCAAATCCACATTCCTAGTGCCGTCACCCCAACTGTAGAGATCACCGGACTGAGTAACAGCGCATGTATGGAACTCTCCGCAGGCTAAAGACTTGAAACCAATTCCTCTGACGCTTTTAATGAACTTTGGTTGGTGAGTGTCTTTTTCTAAGCCATGCCCTAGCTTCCCACCTTTTCCTTCTCCCCAGCTGAAGAGCTCTCCTTGCTTCGTAACTAAAACCGCGTGACAAGTACCGCAAGCGATGTCTTGCGCATCAAGAACTACTGTTGATTCCAATGCCTTTGGTAATAGCGCATCCTCTGTCGTGGAATGTGATGACTTCCCAGTACCGCTCAGTACACCGTCGCTTATAGCTTCACCCCAGACGAAAACATCACCTAAAGCATCAAAGTCTTCGTGACATGAACCGTGGCTAGAGGTGCTCACGGCGCTTGATAGACTGATCCGAACCGGGTCACTGGTCGAGAACCGTGTAATCGAGTTCTCAACGTTTCTTGGAGAAAACGGTAAGATATTATTGGCGGTGTTGGCTTCAGCCTGATTGTTACTGGCTGGTGCAGTGATTGAGACAATGTCAGCAAAGACTTTTCCCAACCGGCTTGGTGCAGAGGTCTCGTTAGAAGGTTGAACAACTTGATCCTATATGGTAAAAGATGACGCAAACTGTGAGGTGGTTGGTTTGTTCAGATTCCTAAAGAATTATATGAATTACTTACAAGAATTGTTACGAATGGAGACACTCTTCGTGCACGAGGCGTTGGAAATTCCGCTGAAGTGATCTCAGGTTTTATAGTGGTTTTCCATTTTGAGACTTTTACTCGAGTAATCAGTGCTTTCAAACCAACAACCCAAACTTCTGCTTCATCCTTGTCTTTGCATATCTGCCCAAAACATCATCCACCAAGGTCAAAGATAAATACTCAAATCTTAATATACTGTTCGACAAACTCACCAAATCCAAGGATCTGTCAGGACATATGAGCGAAAAGGACTGATACTCTTTCTCCGGTCGTGGATATCTCTTGAATGTAGCCTGAAACAAAAACTTGAGCCGTTGAGTCTAGGATGCTACCATCTTACAAAGTTATACATATTTTTTCAGACGCTAACTTATGCTTTTTTTTAAGGAACTGTACTTGATTGTGCAGATAGGAAACACTCACCGTGCGCTGTCCTGGAACAATTCTCAGGACTTGACTAAGCTTAATCTGCTTCTCTTCTTTGTCAGAGTACCATACTAATGTAGACTCGTCCTAGGGATAACATCACATGTGGATATACAAATGAGCAAACAAGAGAAGACTCTCTCTCTCTGTTTCAGAATACAAGAAGTTGAAGAAATCTTACACTTGTGAGCTGGAACGGACAAAACTTGGGCTTCCCTCTGCGTCCGTATTTCAGCAAGTAAGACCCTTTCTTAAGTGACGTAATAGCCTGTCGAATTCAGTAAGTTTTTGCAATCATTCCACACAAAAAGCTCAAAGGAAAAAAAAAGTTAATTGTGAGGTATAGTACCTGTTCGACGTCTCTCTCAGCGAGACTAGTTTTTAGGGAATCAGCCATTGATGAAGCTGTTGCACACGAAACGAACTAATTCCCTTTGGATTCATTCTCAGCCAAATCCTTTAACATCACTCGAATCTCATTTTGGGGTTTGCATCAAAACGAGTCCCAATCATTCTAGTCAAAATTGAATTTTTCTTCAAAATCCCCAAAACTCTCAACTCCAAAAATGTTACTCTAGAGATCTTTAACGACCTCCAGGAACAAATTTGTTTTACTCCACTTCGTCGCCAAAATCGGAAAACCCTAAGCTTCTCCAATCAAAAATCCAATGCCAAGGCCTCTGTTTCCGATAATCGAAAAAGGCGAAAACTTTGAAGACGAAGCAATCCTCGATGAGAATTTCAGATCAACGTCAATGCCGAAAACAGAAAATTCGTCGCCGGACGTAGAAAGGAGCACCGTCGATCGCCGGCGATGAGGATGGAGCGAGATTTCGAGAGGCTCTTGGTGATTTGAGAATCTACGCCTCTAGTTTGCTCTCGTATCAAAACCTTTTTTTGATTTTTTTTTTTATTTATTTCATCTTTTCTTTGATCCATATGAAAGAGAGAGAGAGTCTAATTCTCTCCTCTCCTCTCCATTGGAAAAACTAGAGCGAATGTATAACTGAATTTTCCCGTCTAATTTGAATTTTTTTCATAAGCTTTTACATTATGCCATGTCAGCAATCGAATCTTAATTTTTTGTTTAAGTTAATATAACACTTGTCTAAGTCCGGCCCACTCTGCCACCTACGGCCCACATTAACTCAAACTTAATAAAACTTCTCACTTTCAAGCTCTTGTTCTGACTGTGTTGAGAAGGCGCACAAGAGAAGGCTCAGGCCTTAGTGGTCCCAACATTGCACTTCTTTGGGCTTTCGAAAATTGCAATGGGCTTATTCATTAGCTTGTTATAGTGGGCTCTAATAAAACTGAAATGGCCATCACTATATAAAATGGCATTCCATTGATATAAAACATGTCACTACATAAAGATGACCATACTTATACATAAAAGTCATAGAGAAAGACAAAAAAAGTCACACAGCTAAGCTTGCATAAACTGAAAGTAGCCAAACCGGTTTTAAGATCAGTGGACAGATCAAGAAACCAAACCGTAACATGATACAACTTAGTACCTATAATCGTCATCAAAGATCATGTAGTTATTGCTTCCCCCTCCTCTCCTTCCCCTTTCATAACTATCCTTCTGCATTACACAAAAAAAAACAACATTTCCTTTAAACATACAAGACATCTTACGATATATACATGTAATGTGTGTGTATGGGAAGTTGAATATATACCCTAACGATCATTCGCTCAAAAGCTTCGGTGCCATGCTGCTCCATGTATTTCTCAGCAGCAGTGAGGATGTCGTCTTCGTCGCGTTTGGGGAAGAAATTGAATTTCTTTTGAGGAACATACCAAATATTTGTGGAAGCTCTTTGAGGATTCATGTAGAAAGGCCTTATGAAATGTCTGTACACATGTTCTGCTCCATTAAACTGTGGTAGAACCAGCCAACATATCCCGATCAGCTTCAAGAAAGGCCATATCGGAAACCTTTTTATTGTATTATCATCACAAAGAAAGATTGATTATTATTATTATTACATGACCGAAATAGTGTTGAATATAATAATTAATAACGGAATATTAAACTAACCATTCAAGAAGTTTGGAGAAAATGAGTTCGAAGAGGGAGATGAGTGCGTAGAGAACCCAATAGGTTAGCCATTGCTCGTCTTGTACTAATGATTTTGTCTCTATTGCTCTCACTGATGCATACCTGTTCATATTTTTTTTTGGTCACAATACTTAAATTATTACAATCTTGTTCTTTTTGAAATAAATAGTTGAATATACTACAAAAACAAAATAATGCCTCGTGTCTTGGATTCTAAGTGGGTGTGTGTGGATATACGTGCATCTGAGAAAAGTTTCATTTTTTTTTATCTTTATTGACAGAAGTTCAAAATTTCAATAATTTAGTTTTTGCTTCTTTCTTTTCCCCAAAATTTCCTAATGTTCATCATATAAATCGAAACGAAAGATTAGCTTAACAAGTGAGTATTACAATCACTCTAGTCTTTTAATTATCCCCAACAATTATATGAAAATACAGAGAGAAAGAGAGAGAGGTTTTACTTACAGAGGGTAGACGAGAGCAACCAATGGGCTGCAGAAACAAGAACAAATCAAGTTTCAACTCTCAGATAGTATTAAACACACAAAAACTCAGTAAAAATCCAAAAAGGGTTTCTCTTTCAAAATCGGAATCAAGTTAGACCATAGGCAATGTAGTTAAACTCAGTAGAAATAACACTAAGGAAACAAGATGGGATCTAATTAACAAAAAAAAAAAAAAAACAAGATAGGATCTGTAAAGAGAAATTAAAGGAGAGAAAGATATACACAGACTTACAGTGCAAGGACATCGAAGTTCTTGATGAGAACTTGAAGAACATTATCATCTCCAGAATTAGAAGGCATTATTCTCCAGATTCGAACCAAATTTCTAAAGCTAGTTTCCTCTTTTATTCTTCTTCTCTCTTTCTCTCAGTGTAGAAGTCCTAAAAAAAGTGGAGGCCAGGTTTTACCTTTGGACTTTTATGACCACTCCTTACATTTTTCTCTTTTTTTTAACCTTTAAAAAAATGAAATAATTAGATCAGAAAATAAAATCGATGTTTCCACAAGTAAAGAGACACCGAAAATTTTACCATTATTATGGAAAAGTATTATTTCTTTCTAAACATATTTTATATGAATGAAATGATAAGATTCGGTGCTTATGCAGCTACGGTTATTTCGGTGAATTCATTACAAACCTTTATTATATAAGAATTACTGCTATTTGTATTTGGACATAAATATTTGATATTGTCTGGTTAATAAATCATGTACTGATTTATCAAATATCTTGAAGACAGTTGAATGAGGAATGTGAGATATTAACATGTTGAAATTGAATTATGTTAGACCAACCCTAATGGTAACACTAAGGGATCTAATAAATATTCTTAAGAATATAATTGAATAAAAAAATTGTAAAAAGTGTCTTAATTTTTAAACCAGTGTCTAAATTAGGATCTTTGTTCTTATTTAAAAACGGACACGTGGCAAATTATGAGTAGACAAAAAAATTAACAGAATAAAAAAAAAAATCTCAGTTGTTTTTTTTTCGTCTCTCTATTCTTCTTACTTTGTCAATGGACACAAGTATGAAATGACTTACTATCTCATAGATGGTATTTATTCGAAATGGACAACTTTTATTCAATAAATTTCATTTCCACAAAGTTCGAAGACTCGTTATTTGCTACACATCAAGAATCTGTCAAAAAAGATGTCGAGCGTGCTTTTGGAGTTTTGCAAACTCAGTTTAAAATTGTTTAAAATTGTACTTATCTATTACTCCCTCCGTCCCGAATATAAAATGTTTTAAAATTTTTCTTTGTTCCACTAAGTTTGATTTTTTGAATTTTTTAATATATGCCCTTTCTCACTTTACAAGAACAAAAGCAAAAAAATTATGGGAAACCAAAAAAGTCAAAACTGACATTTCCTGCTACTATTAAATACTCCATTTATCTGAGTATTTATTTAGTAACATTTCTTTTTTTTTCTTTATTACTAGTACTTTATCACTCTAAATAAAAAAATGAATCGAGAAGAAACAAAAAAAAAAGCTGAAGCATGAAGAAGATGAGTCCAAGGCTCCATTTCAATTTTTTAGCTTTCAGTAATGGCTCCAAATTTATTATTTGGAGTTATAATTTTGGCTCTAGTTTTAAATTTTTGTGTAACATAAGTTTGGGTTACAAAGTTGTAGAAGTAGAAACATCATTAATTATGCAACAGCTGTGCATGATCCTATAATCTCATGCGTGGTATTAAATTAAACAAAAAGTATTAGAAAAAGTAGTTAATGATTAATTTCTTAATTAGTGTGAAAAATCCAAAAAATCTTATATTCAGGAACGGAGAGAGTATATGTTTTTATATATTATATTTTTGAAAATGTATTATATTTTAAAAGATATTAACATAAGTTTTTACTTAATTTTATTTTAAAAAAATTATAAATATTTTTTTTAAGACACTCATCAAAATGTCTCTATTGTAGGCTTAAAAACAACAAAATATTATAAGTGTCTTATACATTAAATATTAATAATTAATCAATAAGACCTTCATTACTAGTATCTCCATTGGGGTTGCTATTATGCGTCTAATCTCTTATCGTTTAAAGTAGGCTTGGGCGCGGAGCGGATATCCAGAAAATTTTGAGTATTTGTGGTTTGCTACATTTTTATCAGATATCTGATTTTATGATTTGCTTTGCTTCGAAAAAATACAGATATCTAGAAATGCGGATATCTGAAAAATTTACAAATATTTGCGAATATTTGCGGATATTTACGGATACTTATGGATATTAAATTTTTCCATTCAATACAAACAAACGGTAAAAATACATGCGTTTCTTTTTAAAATATGTACTACCAATTAAAAATAAGTGAAATAACTATTTTTTATTTAAAAAATGGATATAAATAATAAATTATAATGATAAAAAAAGAAAAACCATGTTTTATATTCTGAAAAGAATATTAATTAATTAAAACTCTAATATAAACTTTTCTAATTTATTTTCAAATATTTGATAACTATTGTAGATGTTTATCACTTACTTTAAAATTATTTTATGTATTTTTTATCATATATATTCTTTTTATTTGTTAATAAGATAATTAAACTATATAAAAATATTAAAAAATTATAATATTAATATGTATATATGTAATCTGCATATCGGAGCGGATATCCGATCTTTCGAAAATTAGTATTTGCGATTTGATTTGTTTTAGACAGATACTATATTTTAATATTTGTTTTGCTTTGAATCGTTACGGATATCCAGATTTTTCGGATCGAATCGAATCAAATATAACGGATAATATGCCCACCCCTAGTTTAAAGGCCTAATAAACTCTTCTTGACGCTTTTCTTATCTTCATCAAATAAATGGGCCTTACAAAGCCCAGGTATACTGTATACAGCCCATATCAATCAATGGGCCTGGAGGAGTAATAAGCATTATTCAAATTAGGCCCGAGCATCTAATTTATCATTAATGAGAAAGGTTGAAAACAAAAAAGACATTTTGTATTCGAAATTTATGTATATTAAGGATTTGGTACGACAAATGGAAGCTATATAATATCTGGTATTAGCTAGAGCAATTGATAAAATGATTATAGTGAAGACGACGAATGATTGTATTAGCGAAGGCTGATTAAACTAAACAGAGAAGCAAGTGATGGAATGATGATCATCTTCTCTTTTCCAGATCAAAAACAAAGAATCCACATGAATACACTCTTATACACGATAATATTTTCACATATATATATATATATATGTAACTACGTAGATTATATTTTAAGCATGCTTTAGATACACTTTAATTTCTTTTGGACCTATTGGGTAATGCCAGATTACTACTATACTACTTGTGCCCTCTCCTTTTTTCTTGCCGATTTCTTTCGATTAATAAAATAAAACGCCGACATAAAAACAATGATCGGTCATGAGTCGTATCTTATTGTTTATATATAAAGTAACAGGTAAACTATAGTATATATAGATATCACAGAGATTCATGAGATCATCGGTGTCTCTATATATATGTATATATAATTTTTTTTAATTACCATGCCACGCTTATTGCTGTATTATTGTTATCAAATAGAATAATATTCTTCTAAAACTACAATATTTTGTTTATTTTAAAAACTTAACAGATTAATTAACTCATCAAAATAAATATGGATGAGGTTATAACCGACAGTCCTATGATTTCCAGGTATGGTTCTCACACCGATATATAGAAGGATTACCTCCATACGAAAAATATTTATATTATTTTATATATTATAATAAAAAAACAATTTGAGTATGTGTGTATTATCTCCATACTAAAAATAGCTAACGTCTTAATTCCCATGCTCGTTGATATCTCCATTTTATATATATATATACAGTACAACGAAGGTCTACATGCACGGTCGTTTCTCCATACATATATATACATAATAATAAAATAAATCTAATAATATATAGACCGACACCAGATGAAGCGATATGGTTATTATGCATGTTATATACGTATACTTATAATGTATTATGTTGTTGTATAATGCAAATTTCCTACATCAACATGTTATCATCTCACCATTATATATAAATATGTAATTCGATTTTTCATTTATAAAGGATAAATTAAACTTTTACAATTAGAAGAACAAGCTGGAATTTAATCATAACTATTGTTTACTTTTTTTGTTATACTAATATATGCATGCAGATCGATATACATATAGTTCAAAACTAAAAAAAACTTCTCTCGACATTGATTGAATGATTGTTTTTAATCTTCAATTTTTTTTAGCAGAGAACGACATTATTGGAGATTTTATTGGGTACAAACTTTGACATATACATTTCCCATATAACAAGAATTAGCGATGGTGATTAGATTCATGGATCAAGAGATTGTATATCGCGAGTCTCCAAATATTGTAGAATGAGGCATAAGGATTATTTTTACTTCATACGTTTCTCCGCTCCGGAGTATAACTATATATATATTGACCATTGACAACAATAAATGTCTTAAAAATGTTGCAAATGCTATAACAGATTAAACGTATCCCAAACCCCGCATATATAGAATGACATACTAGCATTAATATGTGGTACATCCACTCGTCAACACACTTATAATAACCAAAATAGTCACATTTTAATTAATGCTTTGAACCATTTGGTTTTATTACTATATATATATATATATATATATTTATAAGATCTTAACTAGTATATTTACTATATATCAAGCATCTATCGATAGACCAGTCAAGACTGACCATATACAACAGAATGTGATTCACACGAGAAAAATAGTAGATTATATATAGATATAGAACAAGAATAAGCTCATGATGCATATCTATCTGTTTGAGACAATGTGGTCGAAGTAATCAAGCCATGAATTACGAAGAGAATGGAATTGCATGACAAAAGTTTTATTGATTAGCAGAACTCAATTATACATATATAACTATTGTTCAAAAGCCCTAATCAAGTAGTATGCCTAGTCTCATTAGAGAACTCTCACGCTGAATAGAGAAAAACATTTCACAAGACAAGTACTACTTGAGGCCAAAACCTCTAGCAAAAAAACAAAACCAAAGCCTGGTTGCAAAAACCACATACTAAAATATATCGAATAATCACGTTCGTACTTACTTAATACATTAATCAGAAGAAGAATGAAACCTGATCAGAACTCGTGCGGAATATTAGAATTTAGAAAGAAAGAAAAAAAATATATGAAAGAAGAAGAAGCAATGCGAGAAAAAAAAAAAAAAACACGCTTGTTTAAAAACAATCAAACAAACGAAAGGACAAAAAAGAAAAGAAAATAAAAATCTCACAGATATATGTTTGTGTGTGTGTGTTTTTGCCTAGGAATGATGACTTGTGCTTCCATCTTCTTGATGGTTGTGATGATGATCTCCGTCGCGGTTTTGCTGGTTCGCCGTCTCCTGAACCGGCCGGTAAGCAGCGTTCAATGCCGCTAAAACTCCGTAGTGGTT